CCGAGTTTTTTTTTCGAAGCTTATTTGAATGTTTGTGAAATCTTAAAAACTAACTTGCTTACTTATAAGGCAACCCATTTGCACATTTATATAACCCATGTGGACCTGCTTTGAAACTTTCGCGACCCATCTCGCCTCGGTTCAGCAAATGAAGCTACAACAGCGATAGTGCATAGTGCCCTCCCCCCCCCCCGCACCCGCCAAACGATGTTTGAGTGAAAACAAATGCTATGTTTTTGAATGTGCTCACAATTAACGCGGACGGGAAAAATGGCCTGCAAAGTACAATTGTTTAGGCGCAAATTTGGGCAACGCAAGAACATTGTATTACATCAGACCTAATGTTCTCCAGTAAGTATTCAACCCTTTGATTTCTCTTTCTGTAAAGAGATGAATGAAAATTTACAAAGATTCCATCGAATTACACCCGTGGCATCTGGAAAGTTCGTGAGAAGAGCGACAGAATTTCTCCACAAATGAAAAAAATGGCGAGCTACGCCCTTTGGTATCCTGGGAGGCTTTTCAAATTTGGCGACTACTAACAACGATCTAGAGAAATTAGCTCCTCCCCCCCCCCCTTTGGTCCGCCGTGGTTACGGGAGTAGAACTGGGGAACTTATGACTTGAGTATTCTGCAAGGCAGATTTGACTAGATTATGCGGAAAATTTGAGATCTATATTTTTAAGGACCTCAAAGAGCATCTATTACTGATGAAGAAGTACGCTAAGCGCAACAATCTGAAAAAATTTCCCTGCGTAATTAAGAAAAAAGTTACCAAAAGCGGAAAATTACATCAGTAGCAATGTTTCTCGAATTTTGGAAGTTTATCTCTCGTGCTCCAACTTGAAATCGCACATGAAAGGAATTGGATGCTTAAGCTATAATTATAACAACTTTTTCACCCCATTCAAGCCCTCCGCCAGCCCCTCACCCATTCTCTGAAGAGCTTCCTTACTGTTCTGAGCATTTGTTGCACGGTTTGTATATTGTTAGATACAGGGTAGGTTTTCTCAGCAGGAAAGGCTTTACATCGAATTTTGCAAATATAAAATAATTAGGTATTTGTACAAGATTTTTGTATCTATTTGTTAAATTTTTTACGACATCTTCACTTCAACAAGTAGATAATTGAGTAAATAAAGTTGTGCAAAGGAGGTACGATATTGGACTAAGGACTCAAATCATGCCCCATAATACATGCTAATGTATTACAAGTCCTCTTCATAATGTAAGTGTGCTCACACGTGAGTTTCTCTAAGTAATCTAAGATAGGATATGAGAAGGAGGATGACGAAGTTCCTCGTACTCGTAGGTGTACTTTTATTAGCGTTAGGCTAATTGAAAGCTAGATAAATACGTTGATGGATTGAAGAGCGAGGTGCCCCATTCAATATGAAAATGTGGGGATGAGAGGGAGAGAGGAAAAGAAAGCATTAGTGTTATAATAGTAATTGTGAAGTTTCTCACCTGTTTCATCCTCAAAATTATTCTCCAGATTCTGCCTAAAGCAAAAAATTTCATACGCAAGACTAATTTTTCAAGGGTTATGGTTATCAAAATAAAGGTGCTTTGCGCAACGTTACCCTTTTATTTTTTCCACTTTAGAAAAGGAAGACAAGGCATTGCGATAAATCTGAGTGAGTGTAGGAAATTCATGTAGAAGGATATATCAAACAAGTATATCGAGGTAATAAATCATAAACGAAGGAGGACGATATATAGTAAAAAAAGGTTATCGCGTCCCTTATGACGAAATTTTTGGAAGAAGGCTTTTCTTTTTTCTGATGTGTAAGGGAACAAGCAGATTCGTCATACTTATCGACAATAGTGGGGCTCCCCAACTTACATATTATGATTAAAACAATGTATAAAAAGCAAAACAATTGATAAAAATAATGGAAAAGTAATAAAAACAACCAAATCATAATAAAATGATGAAAAGTGTATAATAAAATAAACAGTCTAAAATTCTAAACTATGAGACGGATTTGCCTTAAATTCTCCATCATAGACATGCTTTTAGCTTTTGTTTTTTTCAATATTTCAGATTTTGAAGGTGGTTCTAGAAATTGATTGGTAACTGACAAGCATAATTTATTAGCAGCCCGCAGTTCGTAAAGTTTCCCTTTATGATTTACTGTATACAATAATGAAACTAGGATACTCCTTCACTTTGTAATTCGAGAGCTGAAAGTAACTAGCGCTTTTCCCCGCTCACAGGTTGCTGGGCGTTAAGAAGCTTGAAATCTTTTTTACTTCCAACCTCTCATCTATCACCTTGCCCTCCAAGTAAACTTTTTCGAGTTCTTATGTTTTCAAGAATGACAAAGCAAGCAGATTGAATTACCTAGGCAAAGTGTGAAACGAAGGCCAATAAGCCCAAAATCACCACGGGTAGTTGTAAAGGATATTTGTTGCACTAAGCCACAGAGCCTGAAATTAGTTTGAGGTCTTGCTGTTTATTTTCCTGTCATCTCCTTTGATATTTCGTCAGTATGGGATTATGACGAAAAATAATCGTCACGTGTTGTGTAAAGTATCGGATGACATCGTCATCCTTCTTATTCCAACTAGCAATCAAAGAAGAACATTACGGTCCTTCTCCTCAACTTCGCTCATACTAGATGATAGCAGGGGCCTGAGATTCTTTAAGGAACACTTCCCCTACTGAAATTAAAAGAAATTAAGTGTGAACAGTTTATAAAGATTGTAGACTATGTGGATCCCATAGGGATTCCTTTTTTTGGTTATAATGAAGCTATATGAAATCTAGAATAAATAATTCAGACTGCGAAGTTGTGTCTGATAAGGGAGTAAGCACACTTGCTGCTTCCCTTTGCATTGTTATGACAGTTTAGCCATATTTCCGAAGCAAGATTTGCTCTCCAGATATCTAAGTTCAAAATACTCAACAAAAGCTTCTCCTTCCATTTAGCAGCTCACAAAATATCGCAGGTTTTTGTTTTTGCCAAGCATTTCAAGCTCTATCTTATCCCCTGAATGCAGTGAAACAAATGCTGATAGTAATCACGCTGATATACAGATAAAATAAATAAGATGAGTTTCTTTGTTGATTGATTTGAAAAATGAAAAACGATCAGTCAGTGTGTAATGACAAAATTCTTTCCTGGACCAGCGATTTTGCATTTGCATCAAACACATATACTACTAGTTTTATTATGTACTGCCCCACTTTTCATACTTCCTCATTCATCTGTTCTCAAAGCAAATCTGGGTGGTTGTCCACTAGAAACGTCCTGAAGGTGGAACACAAAACCCACATTCATATTCCTGGTTATAGAGAATATTAGCTTTAGAGAAAAGGAAAAGGCGACTTTTCCTCTCAGCCATTTTTATTTTCGTCTCTTAGATCCTGGCCACAGTTCAGGAAGCGCATTTTTGACGTCAAACTATTCTAATGTGCTGCCCGGTAGAAATATATAAGAATTTTTGAGCGCGATATGATAAATGATTATTTTCAGACAGGGCCTGACAACAGCTGGCACGGATCAGCTGGATATCGTTTTTGGGACAAAAAGCAAAGGGGATATCGTCCTTGTGGGCGAAAAAACGCAAAAATCGCGACTCTTTTATAGCCGACGTTTCGTTTTCTGAGGATTTTTTACGTTTAGGGTTTAGGGTAGGGGACTTTGTACGAAGTTTTCAAAATCAAGGGTGACTACATTTTAAAAGTTCCCTTGTGCCAACTCGTGCCGAGCCCTGTTTTCAGACTATGGTTTCAAACATGAAGCAGCTCACTATTCTCCTAAATCAATTTGATTACTATCGTGATTTCATACACTTCCTCTCAGAACCATTCTTACATTTATTGGCACATGATTCCATAGGTATCTGTTTAACGAATCAACAGCTCTACCAATGACCGTAATCAGCATTGGAGAACTAGCAACCACGAACACCTTCTATTGTTTTCTTGGCATGCAAAAGAGACATTCCAAGAATAGCCCTGGGATTAGGCAAATGGGTTGTTTTCTCTACTCTTTGCAGAATTGGCTTTTGTTCCTAATGTATTCGCAATGCAGTAGGTTGATAATGGACAGAAAAGATCCGGCTCAGGCCTTGAGAAGCACGAATTGACTTGCGTTTCCAAATCATCTCGACTGTTGGGGATGAGAAGACGATTAGAGTAGAAGCGAAAGAAAATAGAGGAATGACTGAAACATAAAAAGCATTGAAGTAGCTTAAGTAAGTAAATAAGGAAGAAACGAATATGAAGTGTTCAACTAAAACTATCATCGTAAATAATGAGTAGTGGATATTTGACTAGATGTAATTTTGACGCCTCATTTTTTGAATAAGCCTGCGGAAATGGATTAGAGCGAAGAGGGGAAGGCGGGGGGGGGGGGGGGCAGAACTTTGCTTATTCGAGTAAATTTTGTGTCCCAACCCGAATTTCTTTTTCCAGTTACGTATTCTTCTGACTTCGCACCCGCTACGTCTCGATTTGCCATAATTGTAGAAATAAGAAATGTTTGCAAACAGTTATGTGTAGGAAGTACATGAAAAGAGGCTAATCTGTGGTTTACGAAACTAGCGGAGAACTTTGTTTTCCAGCCATTTAACGATACGACTGAAAAGCATTTACGAAGGCAAAATTTCATAGAATGTTTTCCGTAGCGTTATATAATGTATATCCTGTCATCATCTCACAAAAACTATGTCTGGCTTTTACGTAAGCCGTAGGTTTCAACGATTTGAAGATAATCTTCGAGCACTTCAGCAATATTGATGCCTTAGGTTTATCTGCATTTGTTACATGAATTTGATTCATGGAAATCCTCGCTTGGCTATTACCCGAGCTTTATAATCGCCTCAGCTTGAGAGGATAAGGGGCTATGAAGCATAGGAGTGGCGTAAAGCGAGTGGGTGGTGGAAGGAAAGGTGGGGGGGGGGGGAAGGTGTAATTTTTCGTAGGAAGTTTTCTGGAAGCACACAAAATGCGATAATCGAATGACAAACCCTAATTCCTTTTTTAAAGATATGTGTTCCTGGAGTAGCCGCAGCCGCCCTCTCAGCAGTGGTTTTTGCTCGAATGAGGCATTCATCATTGGAGGTATTTTGAACTGATCTATTGATCTGTGATCTTTCTTCAAATTTTGTACTTCCAGGTGTTACTATGCGGGCTTTCACTCTTCGACGTACTTGTGCTCACTTCTGCCTTTTTGATATATCCGGCAATGAATGCTTGTCAAAATGAGCCGGACCCGGTGAGTTGGAAAATTTTGAAGTAATCTGAGTGGGCACGCCGATGGCTTCGAATTTGCTCTATATATAAAATAAAGTTCGGTTTAACTCATCAGATTTTCATTTTGAAAGACTTAGTGAGAGCCTCACCATACAATTTACTTTTGATGCAACTTTTGGCCTTTTCTACATCAAATACTTTGCTGTAATCAAAGAGCCTAACCAGAAATTCATTCATCATTACGAAAATTTATCCCATGGTATCGTCTTAAATTGAGGAATCCTTTTAGGGTAAAGAATGAGACACTAATATTTCAGCGCTGATGGGTGCTTTCTATGAATTAGAATGACATGAGATATTGAATGGATTAAATGTGCATCTTAGGAATAACCATTCTTTCGCTCATCAAGAAATCCTGAAGCATAAGTACCATATCTCAATTTTTTTACCAGATTTCGAAAAATTCATTTGCCTCTATCTCTACAAACGATCTTTCTTCAATGATGACGTCTATAAAAAAGTGCACATTTTTTTTGCGAGAAGCCTTCAAAGCAGGCTACTATTCTTACAAAGCGTTCACGAATAAATTGCGGAAATGAGTCTTTTTTTTTCAGATCGAATGATCATACAGCGTTACTCATAAAATACTAGGGTGTTTCATAAGTTCGTGGAACTTTTATTCATGTCTTCATTTCTTTGAGCACCGGTTCATTTTCGGAAAGATGCTTATATCATTGGAAAGAGCTGATGTGGTTGTTCGAATGAACTCAATAAGCACCTGCCCATTTTTTCTTATAAGAGACAATTCTGCAACTTTTCTGCATTCAACAACATTCAACAACAATTTTTGTCGATCATGGAAAATGGCGTTTGCATTGAGAAACAGATTGGAGTGCATTAAGAAAGCAAAGGTCAAAGTGCCCCTTCAACAAAACTTCTCGTTGGGGACGTTTCTGCACGGAAGACTGAAAGACAAGAACAAATTGAGAAACTGTCAGAGATGTTCAGCAAAATGTGGGTGGTTGATACATTTTTCGGACCAGACCAGCTGCGTTTTGTAAAAACGGAGTTAAATATTTGACAGCAAGGCACAGAAGGCTAACCATTACCGGAATGTATATTACTGGGTTTGGTGAGATTTTGTCATTTCGAAATGACCTCATGATACAGATCTTTTCCGACCATACATATCTGGCCAGCAGAATTTCTCTTTTTATAAAATCCAGCAGTAAGTAGATCTAGCCTGAGAAAAATCCCTCTGAAGTATGCTTCTTCTATTGAACCACCAACATTTGAAAAAATGGAGAAAATAGAGCGCTTAAAATTTGCACATTTGTATACAAATTCTATTCCTTATTCTGAGCGAATGAGCCTTTTGGTATTTCTCATGAGCTCGAGTCTTCAAGGAACATTCAAGATGCGTTCTCGTAAGAAAAACGTTCAGACTGGCGAAATCTCTCTTGCGCCATCACCTCTGCTAGTTTTCTGAGTTTTTTTTTTAAAGTCGACTGTTTACTGCAGACGAAACCTTGATCTTTCGAAAAAAGGTTGGGTAACCCATTTGTTCAACACTTCTTTCTAGTCCTTCATCTTGTGGTCTATTGCTGTTATTCCCTTCGGGTGCTAAAATCAGCAATGCCGTCAATTTGCACTATTTTTACTCAAAAACGCGCCTTATCTTCCTTCTTGAAAATTGCTCTCCTTAGTCTTCGCGCGACGGTTGCACCAAACGTTCGAGATAAGATGCTGCAAAGCTAATTGAGAATTCAAAAAAGTTCTATGTGATGCTTCGTTCCTTATTGTGAATTTCGCAGCAACGTTGCTTTTGCGGGGTTTTCACTCAAATGCTCAAATGTTCGAAAACAATTACGTAAACAGAGTAATTATGAAGAGAAGAAGAATGGCTATTTTTGCCATTTTGTCTTAGAGTTGTGTGCAACTTTTCTGCAAAAGAAATACTCGCATACATTGTTCTTATTTTCCGGCTTTGCATATGCCTGCCAAAAATACTTTTCGAACACAGATCTTTTCGTATAAAGCGAGTATTTCATAGCTAAAAACGAAGATGCTGCGCTTAGAATTTCTAAAATGCAAAGAAGTTCATTAAATGTGAAGGCATTGCAATGTTATTGCTTTTATGACTCTATATACACAAAAATACCAGCTTATTGAATTTTGTCTCTCACACCTGAGTGCAAAGCGTGAACCGCCAGTGCCAGTCGTCAAAAGCTCTTAATCTAGTTTGATTGAAATGATTGAATTGCTCATGACATTCAATCTCCCAGCTAAGAGCAGAGCTCTAGTAAAATAGATATCATTGAGGCCCTCACGTAATTTTTCAACTTTCTCCCGATACAATTATACACGGCGTTTCAAAAAATGTGCACACTGTTTGTTCACCAATTAACTCTTTTTCAGTGTCATACGCCAAACTTCAGCTGTCATTTTGTAGAGAGTGCTTGATCTTAATTGCAGCCTGGAGCGAGTTACCGATGTCTCTTCGTGACAGTAAATTTGCGCTAGATCTTTCAGCATACTGCATCAGTAAAATACGCTTTTTGAAGAGAAAAAAACAAAAAATTTGGAAAATTGTGCAAGGGTTTTCGCGCGTGCTAATTTTATCACACGACTTTTTACAAGCTTTGTGAGCTACATATGTGAGTGGCATATTTTCGAAAACATAAAAGCTGTAGTTACTTATCTAGATTAACTTATGAAAGAAGCACGACTGTGAAATGCAAATTTCATATTGCATTTAGTGACTTTGACTACTATAAATGTATTTGGCTTTTCAATTTCATTTTCAAGAAATGCGACTCTTAATGGCCTAGAACCCTCCTCAGAGTGCTTACTGTGCTACAACATTAATTGAGAGAGTCGGCGAGCAGTCCATTGTGTAAACTAGAGTTAAATACAGCTATACAGAATGGTACCTAAAAACCAGTAGAAGGCACTGAAGCAGAAGATTTATCATCGATCAAACACTGTGCATAACTTTTTGAAATATACTGTAAAGATTCCTGATCCGCCTCAAATCCCTTTCTTATCGTTTGGTGGGAGAAAAGTTGATGACATAGCCTGCATTATGATTACCTGTGATTTTTGGCTCAATCTGGTTCGGTAACGTTAAACTATTGAGAAGTTTGGAGAGGCAGCTGGAGGTGCCAAAAATTCATTATCGTGCACTTTGTTTACTATTCGGGTCTCGACCAAAACTTTCTGATGATCCATAAAACTGGACATGATAAAATATACTAGGCAGAACCACCAATCAAAGGAGGGAAAAATTCGTACAGTTTCAGACCTTTGCCCAGGTTTACTCCCCATATTTTTATTAGATAGAAAAAGCGGTAAGAACTTTCTAAACGACCTAGTATTTTTAGAATGACATGAGTAGTACTCCCGTAATTGCTTTGTGTACAGCATTCTTTTCCAGACTGAAAGTCGTGTGTGCCACTTTTTCTGGACGTCGACGCTGATCGCCTATCCGCTGTCACTCATAGCTCAAGCAGGTGAGAGAATGAGCTGGGCTCTAGGCTCATTCTATTACATTTGCTGCTACTGCATCATTAATCATTCTCCACGCACAGCATTAGCTCAGTTATTGCCTGAGAGCATCGCTAGCACCTTTCAGATGACGATGTAGGGGGAAGTGCAAAAATGACGAAGGGCGTATAGTGATGGATGTCTGGTTTAATGCTGCATCTGCAGTGAAGTAAGCGTCTGATGAAAGTGTTCCGTCTCAGAACGGGTTAGATTGGCAAAAAAATCGTTTCTTACAAGTAGGGACTAAGAATGATACCATAACTTTTTGTGTGTATCTGTTACGAATTTCGTAGAGCGAGTTCCAGCCAAGATTCCGAGCCCAGTTTTTTTGCATATGCTATCGGAATATAAGTCTGCAATGCAAAAGCACTAGCAATTCGATGAGCGGATCCCTCAAAAATTGCCCGCCAAACGGATCCACATCCAAACGGATTTCTCTGCCTGTGGGCGTCTTTCTTGCAAACTCATGCACTTGTATCACAGCAAAGCTATAAACCACAAGATCAGAAAATTGTCAAATAATTTTTTTTCAAAATGGTGCCAGAAGAAACAGTTGAAATTCTAGAATTTTTATCTTCTACACAACATTGGAAAGGCTTGTGTTCCGAAAAGTAGCTCATGGTGTCCAGCTATTGTACTTTATGACCACTATAAAACGTAGTAGGGGTTCAGTAACTGATTCAAAATCGCATTTATTCTTCCGCAGAAGGATTTCATCTTCCCAATCTTATGTGAAAAAAAAATTTTTTGTAATGATTTTTCCTTTACGATTCAATCATGATGAGCACGGCGCAGTTTACAAAGCTACTAATATGCGAGTTCAATAAAGACAGTCAGTGGAATCAGCGCAAGCCTCTGCAGAGCGAAAGTGACGCACTAATAGTGTTTTATGACCAGCTCAATTTGCAAATTTAGGCTCTGTATGGACTTGCGTGGCGATAACTTTCGACCGCTTCATCGCTGTCTTTTTTCCGATCAGAAAACATGTTTGGGCTACTCCAAGGACGTCTACCATTGTTATCTGCGGGGTAACCCTCTTCAGGTAAGTAAACAACTTCAGAATGAGCAAAACTCAGTACTTTTTTAGCCATTTTTATTCCAAAATGAAAGAAAAACGTCGCAAGTATGCAACAGAGAACGTTTTAGCAATCACTGGTGCAGTAAAGTGGATTTCGCGTAAGATATGCAAATGCCATTTTCCACGATAATATCGAGGGGCTCCCTGAGTTGCCTATAAAGATTTAACGAACTTTACAACCATAAAAAGACTTTAGAGCCGGCTCCTTCCTTGTACGAAAAGTTTTTTTTGCGGTGAACATGCAATTTATGTAAAAAAGTATGTTGCAAAGGATCGGCTCCAAGTCAGCTGGCACCCACCTGGAACGGTTCCAGCTAATTCGAGAAAAAAGTTTAGCGCGGCTTTCATTGACAGAAGTCTTCATATATTCTTGGTCCATAGCTGGAATCCCCTCACGCGCATGACACCTCTAGTGCCATATCATTGCGTTTGATTGCAAACGAGATTTTGTTTGTTTGGGGCACAACTTCGAATCCTCGCGCTGTGCTGCAAACGATACAAAGAGTAAGCATGCCGGCAACATGCTTATGATGTGCCGGTACCGTGCCGACAACGTACCGACCATAACCAATCTGTGCTAGTATTGATTTCATCAAATATACCCATGACCTCTCCTGAAAATCATAATTACCCACGATACAGAATAACCTGCAAATAATGTGTTTTTCAGTGTCCTCTTCAAACTTCCTGCCTTCTTCGAGATAACCCTCAATGAACAAGGACAAATAGCTCCGACCTCACTAAGGACTAACACTAACTATCAGAAGTATTACATGACTTATATGTATCTGTTCTTCATTCTACTAATCCCATGGACAGTTATCATCGTTCTGAATGGAGTCGTCATACAGAAGGTAAACTCCCTAAACAATAAAAGGCTAGGATGAAGATTATTCAGTCTATGCCAAACAGCATTGATTTTAGCTTTCGATTATAGCGGTTAAATTTACAGTTAAGTCAAAATCCAAAAGCAAAGCATTGATTTGAAGTGCTCGGTGAGACTGATTAGGACCTAGAGAGGGAGGGGGCGGGGGCTTTTGTGACCAAGTGTGCAATTGGGAAACATTTTCCTTGTACGCTATCAGGGATAAATTTTCAGGTACGTGAAGCATACCATACACACAAGCTCTTGACGCAAGCCACTCGCGGAAAGAGGGAATCAGACGAAAGAAAGTGAGTTTTTCACATGCCACACACAGTAATTGATAAAGATTTTTATTCGGCAGTATCGAATTATTTTCCCAAACTAAATCAAATTGAATCATACATTTGTCTGGAGGAATGACGGGAGTGTTATAGGGGCCAGCAGGATCGCGGCCGCCCACGTCATGTCACTAAGGCACGTGCCAGACTTATCCGCTTCAGCCGGTTCGTTCGGTTCATAGGTCAAATCACTATACTGTCCAACAGCAAAGGTGATGAACCGAATGAAGCTGTTCAACAGGATAAGTCTGGCACCTACCTGAGTCGCCGGAAGCACATCTGACGTGCGCGGAGCAATGGCCGTACGCACGTCCGACTCTCGCGATCCTGCAGGCCCCTATACTTTTCATCCACTCCTAATTGCCAAAAGCAGAGAGATGAAAAATAGTTCAAACTTAGGTTATTTTTCAAGCTCATATACTATGCTAGTTTAACAAAAGTTCTTGCTTAAATCAGGGAAATTTGCTATCAAATACCCAATTCAGATCATGATTTGCATAATAAAAAAAGGGTTGCGCTTTACGACTAAGACTTTTAAGGCGACTAAACGCAATTTTTACGACCGCTAGCCGTGGACAAGCTTTCAAAAACGGCACATCATCAAATTTCGTATTTCAAGTTTGGTGAAAAATAAAGCGCAGCTGAATCTCGGGAAAGCTGTAAAGATTTCCTACCAGCCTATAGGCCACATATTGCTGTGACAGGCTTGTATGAAAATGCAAAAACAAAAAATTCATGAAATACGAAAAATTTCTTTATCACCTTACTTTATAAACCAATGCCAGACACCAGAAATTTAATCTGTCAATAGCCTAGTACATGAGCTTTTTCGGACGTCAAACTTGTTTTTGGAAAAAGTGCAGTGGAAGGGGATTTTGATTTGCAAATGACATTTTTATTATTGCATTTCCATGCGAATAAAGTCCGCCACAGAGACTTATGCGCTATTGTTATGTAAGAAAAATTCCATAGTTTTGGGGGCTAGCTGGCGGCACACTAACACTGCCAGACTCAAAGTCACAAATTTTATTATGTCGCTTTTGGAAGCTTCCTTCTCCAAGGGGAGCCAATGAAGTCGCATTCAGATGTCGTAGAGCGTAAGCCTATCCTATTTTGAATACGAAGTCTGGAACTGGGTCTGGATTAGGGAAATTTGTTTTTTTTGCGCTCAAACCTGATATTTTACTTCGCGACAGGCTAGCCGAAATCAAGAGGGCTGAAGCGGGAGAGGATGAGGGGAGGAAGAAGAAAAGAGTGAAAATATCGATACAGGGTTATCTTTACCAAGAACTGTCTTTTGAGTTCAAGATGTCAACGGATGTCATCTCAAAATCTGTGTAAGGCACATCATTTCAATGATTTCGTGTCTGTAAACATTCAAGCCTCGTACCGCCATTTTATGCTACGCATTTAGACACGCACCCTTTTTGCAAGCAAAACTCAATCAACTTTTCCTAAAATATAGATGACCGTTGCTTGGAGTGTGACCTAGGAGAGAAGAAAGGTTGAAGGGATTAGAATGCTAACTGAATATAAATCTCGCATGCATTGTAAAGGATACGGTAGAATCTCTCAAAAGCATCTCTTGAGACATTTAGAAAGAAAAAAAGAAAATTGTCTTGCAAGATCTTTATAGTTGAGCTTAATTTCTGTTCTATTCAAATCTAAATGTATATAAGAAATTCAATTAACAAACAATCTAAAGGAAAGTGAGTGAGAAAATCTGACAAATTTACTGTATGCTGATTATCACATGGGTGACGGAGTCATAATGCTAAATCGCTTTGCAGTACCGATATTTTTGAATTCAATATTTTTACAAACCTTAAGTCCTGCCAAAGGAATATGTAAAGATTACAAAAAACAAGCTCGTCACTGTGAAGTGCAAGTGTTTTGATTTTTTTTCCAGCTTCAGCTACACTAAAGCAAGTAAAGCTGCGATGAAATAAAGACAAAAAAGTACTTCGATTCCAATATTCCGGAATCCTCTGCTCGTTCCACGGTGTTGATGTTCAGTTTTCCCTCATTTCAGGATGACTGTGATGACCATAGTGATGACGGGGATCTTCGTAATGTGCAACATACCGCCTGCCATCAACAACATCATCGAATCCTATGCACCTCAGTACAGGGAACGATTTCGCCATCGAATTCCTCTCTCAACATTGCTAGTTTGTGTGAACAGGTGGGCAAACACGCTAATTCGTAGCCAAAAAGTTTGACATGTGTTAAGTGTTTTGCGCTGCCGGCAACATTTGGGCGTAAACAACACGATGTACTTGGTCTCCATGGCCATTTATTACTTGCAAGTCGCAAGCAAGTTGTCGGCATTCAAAAAAAATTTGTTATCGCCAAATGTTGCACCTCAGAAGCACTGTATTAATCGTCAAATCAACTAAGCCAAACTTTATCACACTTGTCTAGTACAAACGATTATTTCGGAAAATTAATGCTTGTGAGGTCCAATTCGAATGAGCACCACTCAAAGAAAGAGAACAGTGTAGTGCATACATGAGGGGAGTAGCAAGCAAAATTTCTTTCGCTCTCAAATTTTTGGCGAATTCCAGGCCTCGTTGAATACGCTAGAAAGTGCTATGCACATGTTGAGTCTATTTTTTATTGCCATTCTTCATTCTCACAATTCAACCCAAACTATAAATTCAACTCACAATCTCAGTTTTTTAAAGTTTTGAAATATGGTAGAAACGGATGGAAGTGTGCTAAAAGTTCCAAATTCTTGCATCATCGTTCCTAGAAATATGCACATCTTTCTCACAGAGATAGTGCTCTGGGATGTGCATTCTCTAGTAGTGATTTCGTACTTGCATCAAAGCATAATCGAGTGTTTCCACATCTCGGATGCAGCATCGTGAGAATGCAACGAGTGGCCTTGATTGGTGCTATTGAAGCCAAATTGAAGATCACATGAGTTTCGCACGAATTTGCACTTTTACTGCATTGAGCAGTGTTTTGTTGAAGAAAAGGGAAAGTTTGCTCTAAGCGGAAGTGCAAAACAACTGTCGGCAATGCCGACTAGATTGTATTTTGTACCGTTTATAATTTTCAAAGAATTAGGTCCAAGCTGCAATTATAATAAAATTAGTCATTTTTTTCGTCAAAGAAAAATACCTTTCAGCGCTTCAAATATTTTGATCTACTGCTGGTTCAATCGGCACTTTCGACGGTCGGTTTTCCGGTTGTGCTCTTCCTCATCATTCAGACGTAGCAGCTATACTTACACTACCGTATGCAAGGAGGTACGTTTTCATGAACCCGGTGACATCCATAAGTCTTTGTGTTACAGAAAACTCGTACGAGCGAAAACTACATAGTTGTGCCTTTGAAGCCAACAAAGCAATCGATCTTGTGATTGTACTGCTCGTTCGACGTCGTCGTGCTCGAGCATATATTTTTATTCTTTGCAAAACCATGCCGTGTTTGCGAAAACGGGTTTTTGCTTTCATTTGAAATGCTTCTCTGTATTTTTGACCTGTTTCTATGGAATAAAACACTTGAAGTGTTCTGTGCTGGTTCTCACATTGTAAGATTTTATATGGATTGTTCAATATCTTACAAGTGTGAAATGGAACGGATTAAGAGTGCAAAAAAGCTCCTCGAGGAAGTGTTTCCTTCCAATAGAGCCCTTGAAAACGTATTCACTTCTTGAATATGCCCAGGGGAAGATAGGCTCTAACTTAAAGTGTTTTGATTGGTACTAAATTTCATCATCCGGTTCACAATTTCTGAAGAGAGAGAATTGCTTGTTTTTAGTTTCTAGAAAATCTGACTTTACCAGTGCAAGGAAATTTCTGGGGGCATAAAGCAAAAGCGTACCGCTATATTCCATACAAACTACTTCGCTATTGCCTGTTAGTAGAAGATAATATTGCAATGGCCGTTATAAATGGCGGAAAGTGGAATGATAGTTCACTAAGGAACTAAAAAAGCTGAGATCACGATAGTCAGCTTTCTAAGACGCGGGCTCGGCAACACGTGAAAACAGGCACTTTTGAAACGAGTTCTGAATTCTGAAAATGTGACAAGATTCACTTGGCCTTCAGAAACTCCTGACTGGTTCTTATCTGTTTTCTTTTTTGTACCTAAAGTTACGCACGACTTCGGAAAAAAGGTAAGCCTTCAACCTCTATCCTCCCCCTTCCCCTCCTCCCGTGCGAATGAGACAGAAACAATAAATAGCGCAACAGCAAGAAACAACGAAAGGGGAAGCCAATGGCAAGCATCCGCTGAAATGAAACTTTGCTCACAGGGACAGGGGCGCGCTTTACGATCGCAGCAGATTGCGCCTTTGCTATCGGAGCACACGCCAATGAAATTTTTTAGGGTTATAAAAAGCATAGAGAACGATTATGAGACCTTTTTTGCGTGTATGAAAAGTCTTAAAGTGAAGATACAACTCATATAAAATATGAAAATATTAGGTTGTCCTAAAAGTTCTTGCGCCGGATTTTCAAAAAATCATAACTTCCTTTCTTCTCAACAATTTTTCTCAAAATTATTTTTCTATGAAAGAAGGAACCTTTTTCTTTATAGCGGTGCCTTTGCCATGAATTAGCGTTTTTAAGTTCGAGAATTAAACGCAATTGAAGGAAATTAGTCAAGATCGACATTTTTCAAGCTGGATCACGAAAAATTCTGGAAGTATTTTTATTTGATAAAGAAAATTTTGCACATTACAATGGTACCTTTTTCATGAATTAAAACGAAGTAGATCGAGAGTTAGAAGCAAATAAAAAAAATTTCTTCACTTTTGCAATTTTTGAACATGCTCCAAAAAGCTTGAAAACATCACAAAAAAGGCGAAAAAGTCATAAACATGGGTTTTGCAACCTTCTCTTTCTAGCTGAGCGAAAATCGTGCCAATCGGGAGCAATTTTGATTTTCGTGGTTTATTCGGATTTTCGGACCTGCTTTTTCACGAAAATGAAAATTGCTTCTGATTGGCATGATTTTCGCTCAGCTAGAAAGAGAAGGTTGCGAAACCCATGTTTATGACTTTTTCGCCTTTTCTGTGATGTTTTCAAGCTTTTTGGAGCATGTTCAAAAATTGCAAAAGTGAAGAAATGTTTTTTATTTGCTTCTAACTCTCGATCTACTTCGTTTTAATTCATGAAAAAGGTAATGCTGTAATGTGCAAAATTTTCTTTATCAAATAAAAATACTTCCAGAATTTTTCGTGATTCAGCTTGAAAAATGTCGATCTTGACTAATTTCCTTCAACTGCGTTTAACTCTCGAACTTACCAACGCTAATTCATGGCAAAGCACCGCTATAAAGAAAAAGGTTCCCTCTTTCATAGAAAAATAATTTTGAGAAAAATTGTTGAGAAGAAAGGAAGTTATGATTTTTTGAATATCCGGCGCAAGAACTTTTAGAACAACCTAATATATGTGAACAAGGGATCATTTTACCCAAGAGAAGGGAGGGCAGGCAGGAGTTTCTAGCCTTTTTCGCACCATAATTAGCACTAGCATTCGCATCCTGGAAGGGATGTAATCTTACCTGAGAGTATTCGGTGCATAAAGTGCCTTACACTTCTCACTGCTCCATTTAAGTGACAGGAAAAAGGCTACGACTATTCTTACCTTACTTCCTCCAATTTTTTGCTCCACTAAATGCTCATAACTCACCAGTGTGCTTCGCAGTATACTTTGGACTGAATCGAATGATTATTCGATTATTCGAAATATAATATTCGAAATCTTTGATTTTCGAATCATTCAAAATTCGAATATTCGAAAGTCAAAGATCTCGAATATTATTCGATGGTCGAACATTCAAAACTTTCATTTTTGAATATTACTCGAAAGTCGAATATTCAAAAACCTCACTTTCGAATACTCGATAGTCGAATATTCGATGTTCATCGAACATTCGAATATTCCATGAGCATCGAATGGTCGAAAGTCGATGAGCATTGACCATTCAAAAATGCGCTGAGCATCGAAATTTTGAAAGTTCGATATCCATAGCATATACAAAGTGTCTCAAAGGTATCTACACACTTAATTCACTATCTCTTCATACAATGACTTCGCCAGTCTTCGGGGTGCCATTCCGTAAAGCTTGCTCTATCTTACATATGCAGAAAAACTGGATCACCCGTAGCTTTTTTATTGTGGAATTACATTAGGAACCTCCAGCACATAGTGCGCTACAAAATCAGCCGATTGAAAGGACCTCTCCAAAAATCTAGAGATTTGTTTAGCAGTGTTATTACTTTTTGAAACATGCTGATTTCACTGCACAATTTTCACAAATTTTTCGAGCTTTTTTGGAATGCAGTCAAAGAGGAATGTTGAAAAAGTTCGTTGACCGTTATGCTGTACCTGACATATACGAAGCATTACACTTGGGTGCGAATTTTGTATTCTCAGTACTACCTTTGAATACCCTATAATACCCTGTATCAGTTCTTAATTTTTTCGATTTCTTTTCTCAGAAATATGTTCCTTACTGTCCCAAAACCCTCTTCAATCCTGTGAACCTAAGTTGAAGCAGAACTGCACAATAATACCCAAGTTCAGCAAAGACGTGGGAGGAAAACCAACAACCAAATATTATCATAAACTTTGAGGCATTCTGTATATCAATCCACAAATTGAGTGGGAGCTATATGCTTGAATGGTCTAGTGCGGTAAACTGAACAGTATGCAAAAGAGCCATCTTTCTATATAGCAGAAGTTGCTCGATTTCACTATTCAAGGACGCCACGGTTTGAAATGGAAATATTTTGATGTTTTCTAAAGATTCCTTTACAACGATCATGGGAGTACGCTTTAGGTTCTCACCCTTGATCTCATCAATAAACCGTTTTCCCATCATATAGTGTAACATAAAAATGTCTGTTGCAATTATTTTCATGAAAAAACTTACTGTCAGATGTTTTGGTTTCCCGTAGGCAGCCATTCCCTTGACCAATTTATTCGAATATCATTCGAAATTCGAATAATATCTGAAGTCGAATGATATTCAATATTTGAATATTATTTAAAAGTCGAATATTCGAAAATTCTGATTTTCGAACATTATTTGATAGTCGAACATTCGAAATCTTTTATCTTCAAATAATTTTCAACAGTCGAATATTCGAAAATGTTGATTTTCGAATGTTACTCGATATTCGAATATTCGAAAAAAATTCGGATTTCCCTAAGTAAACACCGCAGATAAGAAAGACAGATTTGGAATCAGCGTTTTATTTACTCCAAAGGTACACATCCCTTTCAAAAAGCCAGTTCGACTAAGCATGCTTCCCTTGCTAGCATAAAAGTGCGTTTAGCAGAATTTGAAAACGTCATTTCTTTTTTTCACTTTACACGAGTCACCGATTAAGGAGGCAGCTCACTTGGCGAATATTGATAACTAGCTGGCATACACGCTTTTACCGAGTTGGGCGGCCGGACATCAAGCGGTACACACTCGCGAACAAAATGACAGGACTCACATCCACCTCCGACTATCTCGCTGTCCTTCCTTCCTGCACAAAATGCGATCTGTGAGAGCTCTTTCATAGGAACAAAGTGGCCCTCTAAGCGGCTCACATAGACTCACCGCATGCTGTTAGCAAAGAATCAAAGTGAGATTTATTGTCACTGTCACATCTTACCATTTGCACTAGTGAATTAGGTGGCGTATTTCATAACAATATAGCAGTGGCGTACCGAGGGGGGGGGGGACGGGGGGGGGCGCGCGCCTCCCCCCCCCCGAGAATGGGAGAATGCGAAATTTTTGAAAGTTACTTACATGAGTTATAAAAATGTGCAACAGACTTATTTATACTTGTAAGTAATTAAAATAATTTTTGAAAATTTTTAAAAATTCAATTTAGCCTTATAAAAAAACTTTTTTCGGGGGCGTGGCTAACGCCACGCCCCCTTTTTCTGAAATTTCGGTCCTGAGCCCCCGAAAATTTCAGGAAGCATACCAAAAATTTTTTCGGAGTGCGTGGCTGACGCCACGCACTTTCATCGAAAAAAATTTTTTGTCGCGCCCCCCCCCGAGCCGAAACCTGGGTACGCCACTGCAGTATAGCTACCTAGTGAGATTCATTTCTTACCACACAAGACTTCTTTACAGACGTTGAACGATGCCTGGTCAGTTTTCAGGAATACACGCACACTCGAAGCGGTGTTAGTGTTCCAGACACCTTAATGTTCATACAAGCTAGTAGATTACCTCTCATATAGTTCACTGCGGTGTGGATGACTGACGACATCGTTTGCGCGTGAGCGAATTGCCGAGAAACGAAAAACTGAGAAGTGCGCGCTTCGCTACCACTTCTCAGGTACATATTGCCGGCAGTACAAGCTAGCAATGCTCGCGCGCGTACCTTCGATAGTCTAGAGACAGGGCGCCAAAAGTGAAGTTTGTTTGAACATCTGACGTCATAAATAGTAAAGGTTGTTTAAAGAAGATTAGAGAGGAGAAAATGGCGTAAAACAGATATAAAAAGCAGAAGAAATTTTGTAAAACGGATAAAAACGCTGCAATAAGGTTTGAAATCTTTCACTTGGCGGCTCTTCAGGGCGCAAGTTTTCGCTCCAGGATCAGCAAGTCGCAACACGGGGTTTTGATTTTTGATGCGTCCTTTGAATTTTTCCTCCGCATTGACGTTCCTGTCTTTTGGGACATTGTCTAGATTGTTGCGCTTATTGTTCTGAGCAATGATCGCCAAAGCTGGAAAAAAATCGATGCGAAAGGACCAAAACAGAACAAGGTAAAGAAAAACGCATTTTTACGATTTTCGCAAAAAATTCTACCATAATCGAAGAGTTAAGGGCTGGGTGGTTGTCTGCATTATAAACAGAAGCAAGATCTATAGAATGCACGAAAAAACCGCGTAAAAAGAGTTAAACTAAGAGAAAAATAAGAGATTTTCAAAAACAAGGTTTTTGCCGGATTTCCTAATCAAATCAAATATGTGGTTTTGGGACGTTGTCAGCGTGAAAATAGAGATCAAGCTTCAAAATGATATATAGCTTGCTATAACTGGGTGCGAAACAACGAAGAAAAGGGTACCAGAGCCAAATGCCCCGCGCCCCGCGTTTGGAGTAGCGAGGTAGCGCGCAACGCGCGGAGAGGCAGACGAGCAGCGGAGACAGACCAGAGCCGACGGGCATTTGGTTCTGGTCGTAGATCTCCGCTGGGTCTCAACGAAACCCTGCAACATTATAAATCATTCTGATCGTCATGACGCGACGAGGAGAACTGATAACGTGCCAAGCTTTGAAAATCACTCATTAACGAGATAGACCAGCGTTTTCGTGCGCGATTCTCTGCGCAAGAATTAAGCGCAGTTTCTCGTTTTTATTTAACTCCAATAGCTTTCCTAAACTTCTGAAACTCTATTTTGGTCAAATGAGAGGTTAACTGAGAAATTTTGTCCTGAATTCTGGCGAAAATTCCACAAAAATCTTCTTTTTAACGTAAAAAAAGGCTATGAAAACGCTAATTCTCGGTTTCGCTGAAATAAGCTAAAGATATTATTCCTTATAAGCTAGAGATATTATTCCTTATATTTGCTTCATTAATATACGTTCCGATATAGTCAGGACAACAACATCCAGGGCGAAGCCCCGGATGACTTCTGGTTTTTTCCAGGTGAAGGTTGTGTTCCCTCATAGCCCTCAGAGTAAAGGTTACCAGAGTATGTGGCTCTATGTATCGAGGGTATGCTCGCGCGCAAATGTTATGGCGAGATAGGACATAATAATCGAGGTTAGGTCTACTAGCCTGTACATCACCTCAAACTAAATTATATACGTTAGTATCATAGTTCATCTTCATTGTTGGCACTCTTCAATGTTTCTTCATGTTAAGAAGATGTTCAGTCCTGATGCTTGCAGCTCAGGCTGTTGAAGCGGATGGCCTTACTTTCGCCCATTCTTGCTCTTTCGCTGTAAATCGAGACAATGAATTCAGCCAGTAGCCATGGAAAATATGATTGCACCTGATCCGTAAAGAAGAAATACCGTTCCAGCACAAATATTGACAGCACTGCAGATCATAAAAGATACAAGCCATTTGTTTTGGATACCCTGAAAATTAGAGTTGCCTCATGCACCAAAGAAAAGAGTAATATCTGACAATTTTTGTTATCAACCCCAACATCGAGGGGCCGCATATGTTTCCAAGCATTCCAAAAAACATATTAATTGACGTAATTGTCCCAGTATAAATCGGCGCTATGCATAGAGTGCATGTGAAAAAGCCACATATGCCTGCGGATAATACCATACCTGAAGAAATGAGCCTGCACTTGGAAAACTGAGATTATAGGAACTCACCGTATAAGGCAAGCAGTGGCAGAGCGGCGTAAGGATTCTCACAACTCGGCAAAGTTGCAAGTGCCATGAGCGTTACCGCTGATCCAAATGAACCTATAACAACAGTTATTCCCAAAGAACTTGAGATGGTCAAGGCTCACCGATAGTTTGACAGATTTTAGCACACTTAGTGTGACCGATAATATTCTTTCGTTTGAGATAATCTACAAAGATACCCATCACGTTTTTTGAGATCAATTGCGACACGAAGAGCACCATTGTGAAAACCCCGTTCTAAAACTTTTAGTGATTGCATACGATATGTAATTGCAATTAGGGCTCGGCATAGGTGTCTTACGGAACTGGATATCGTTTCGGAAGGAAAGCAAGGGGATCAGGGCCCGGCACCGATGGTTTGGGGTCAAACTGGACTTCGTTTCTGGAGTTAGAAGCAACGGGGACATCGTTTTTATGAGATCCTGGAGGAAGCGCCAAAAAACACGACGAACATGTCAGGTTTCACGAGTTGAACGTGTTCTTTCGCAAGCGCGCGAATTTCAAATGCAAGACTCAAACAAACAAATGGCATGTTTACAGCGCGCAAACAATCACATGGCTCCGAATTTGGGCTATGAGTATACAATATTACTCCAAACTATGTTATGTAAAAAGTTCCCAAAACTTATGTGTCCTAATATCCGTTCTCGAATTTGTTGGTTTCTAGACCAACTACCAAACCAACTGGGTTGGTTCGGAGCATAAATATCGGAGAGTTCACATAAGTTTTGGACCTTTTTGATTTGGACGGTTAGAACGGTCAAAAATCTATCATATAGTGAAGAGAGCGGATCAAACCGTTGCCTCTCCCCTTTTTTGAGTCAAAAGTAGTAGAATTCTACGCGTTGATAGATATCGCGCTCCAATCACTTGCGGTGTCCTTTGAAATATGTGACGAAAAATACATTGCAGGATTGTTGAGGCTACAGATTTGGTTGGCCTAGGAGATTCTCGACATTTCCAGCATCAAAATGGTACTATACCCAATGGCAGAGCCTTTAATCGACTCGAAATGTTTTCTTTTTGCTTTTTTGTTATATTACATACCTCAAGCTTTTTTCGCTTTTTTGTTGCTGTTTTGGTTGAATAAGGGTTTCCCTACTTATTTTCACGTCGAGAGGGACTTCGTAAATTTTCGCGAAGTCATGGGGGACTTCGTTTCCTAAAAACCTCCAAACCAACGCGTGCCGGGCCCTAAAGGGGATCACTTTAACCCCCCCCCCCTATTGCCCTCCTCCCCACAGTCACTTTCTCCTTCTTATGTCATTCTCCAACTGCTATAGAGGATGCAGTTGTCATTCCTGCCTTATCGATCCCGTTCCTGCAAAAACCAAAATATTCCTGTTTCAACAGATTCGCCTGTTTAGCGCAAAATTCAAAAATTTGCCCCGAAATAAACAAGAGTCTTGTTTACAGCGAGGAGAAAATGAAATGACACCAGATTGGTGTGTAGATGGGCAATAGGGAGTTAGGACTATGTATGAATTGTTATGAGAAAGTTATGTGAACTGTGCCTGGCAAACTGTTAGGTGGCTTTCTAGCTACCTAGTCAGCCATCTGAGGTGGCCGTAAAAAAGTCATAAATTTCCCTTCCTTTACATAATTACTTCACAAGGTTAACGTAACTTCGTTCTTCGTCAAAAACCCTACATTTAGATTTTGAATCTCCCCAAAATCCCTACTCCTCGCCTAGTCACAGCTCTCCCAATATTTTGTAAGCCTGGCAAGCCTGCTCCAAGTGCTTTATGGTGCGCGCCGGACACAACATGCCGCTAATTCGGAGAACACAAACTTCTTTAGTTCTTTTTCGTCTGCTCAATGTTATTTTTATGTTTTTTCCCATTTCTGTTATTAGTGTTTGACCCATTCATGGTCGCGTCGTAGGTGATGTCGCATTTTTGTGGCGAAGTCTACGGGGACCTCGTTCTTGGAAAAATTAAAAGGCCACCTCATTCCGAGCCCTGTTTGCAACGAACCTTATTGAGTGGTAGCATGAGTTCCTCCTTGAAAAAGGTTGGTAGAAATGCATGAAGCAAGGATTGTTGCAGATTGTAATTGAATTGGCAGAGTACTGTTGCAATCAATGGTTTAGAAGCAAGCATCTTTTTCCAGGGCACTGATAACTTGCCCTAAAAGCAAAAAATCACCATCACCTTTATTAGTTTTCACATACTTGGTTCGTTTCCGGTGATCTCATACGAGAGCAGTTAACTTTGTGGCAAGGAAAACCTTCGCAATCTATATATATAAAACCCAATGTCTGTGAGGATGTTCGTTTAGTTGTTCGTTCGTTATAGAAAGGCCAGCCATTGAACCGATTGAGCCAAAAATTCGCATACATATGTTTTCGATCCCGGCGGTGGTCTATAGCTACTTTTCGCAGCGATTCGCAGGGACCTTCTATCGATTTATTGATTTGTTTACCTAAATCTCGGAAAATGAAAGTTTGACGTGCTCTAACCAATCATTTTCCAGTAAACATGTAAGCAGGGGTAGTGAAGTTCATTCTAATCTCAAGGTCGACAGGATGCAGCGGGTTCGTCTCAAAGCGCTTTCCCCGCATAGAAGTTAGAAAGTGTAAGTATGATCGGTTTCCAGATTCGTGTGGAGGAGGGCTACGGACTTCACTGATTTAAAGGATAAGCTCAGCGGGTAAGAAATACAATTCTATAGCGTGGAGTTTAACAAGTTTGTGCCGAATCACAGAATTGCGCAACCCGCTCTACACGAACCTGTTGGTGAGTAAGGGAAAACTCCGCCAGTTTGAGCCCGCCTTTGCTGGCAATTGGTCCTTTTGAAATATTGTTGTTTGTGGTTGCAGGATCAGTAGTCCGCGGAGATGTTTCAGACTGGCGGAATTCGTTCCCCTACCCCATCTTGGTTGAACTAAAAGTCTCGGGCGAGACCGGGTCATCAGCTAGTACATAATATGGTCAAAAAATATATGGAACATAAAAGCCTTGACTTTTAGGTTTATTCTATGGCACCGCGGAAGTTTTTGAGACATACTGCATGGCCTAACACCTCATAGAAAGAAATGCCTAATTAACATTAGCTCACAGTCGACACGGAACACGCTGTGAGCATCTTGTTTTTTCTGGACGGAATTCGAGCTTACTCGAAGGCAACGTTTACGTAAGAAGAGATATTGTGCCTTAACTGGGCCAATCTATGTTGAGTCCGAAAATCCACACTGGGGAGTGCAAAAACCGCGAGAAGGGGCTCTAACGCAGGTAGGAAACCAGAGGTGGGAGGGGCCTTTGCCTTTGTGAAGTTACTCTCCCAGTTTGTAAAGATCTTCTCGCTTCCGCTGGCCGCTCTAACACCGCCGCGGCGCATTGAACAGATTCTGGCAAGTTGTGCTTTCTTCTTTGCTTACTGCACTCTTTATCACGCAAATGGTCTTACTTCTGATACCTACCGAAGATTGCATGTGGTGTATATTATCCGCCAGATATTTCTTCTCTTCTTCTGATATAAACCGATTGGTCGAAGGACTGTTCGTCGCAAAAATTATCCAGGGTATCAACCATAGGCAACCAGCTGCTCCAAACACATAGAAAACGAGTGGCCAACCGGGACTTAGTGTGCAAAGGTAAGAAGCAATCAGAGAAGAAAATCCAGCAGCTAACTGAACTTGATAATTCGTACAGGAAAAATGAAGTATGTAAATTTCTGCTAATACCTGGTTTCCAGATGTGTACATAGCACCTGCTGTGGATTTTTCTGTTATAGTGTACCATTTGCCAATGACACTTGCAAAGCAGGAAAAAACAAAACCCTGTTATAAAGCAATGAGTAAGGTTGCACTTTTTAAGAGTATGTTTCACCTCTCCAAGACCCATGATGATGCGTGAAACGAGATACGCCTCAAATGAGTGACGAGCAAGAAGTGGAGTTAACAACGTTACTATGATGTAGTCCAGAGTGAATGCTATGATGCGTTGCCAGTCAGATTTTTGGTACATGTTTTCCACATACCTACGACTATCCTTTTCGGACCATATCTATCCGCCAAGAGACCTGCAAAAGTGATGGTCACCAATGCTCCATAAAACGTGGCAGAGAGCAGCAAGGATTGCATCGGAGGGCTCCAGAGCAAATCACCCTGAACCACATCAAATAAGTGAGTAGAATCTGCAAAACTCTAAATGGTAAAAGGTAAGCACAGTATAGGACAACTCAAAAACTCATAGCAAAATCGACAAGGCACAACATTTTTTTCATGTCTTCACTGTCTTACGCTGAAAAATTTGGTTTTTGTGTCGGAGCAAAAGATCGCATGTAATAGCAAATTAAGCATAAATCGAGGCACAATCTATGTTAATGTTTTTCTTATTCTTCCATTTATACAGGGTGATAATTCTCAGCCAGCACCATCTAAGTCTTCACACTTTTCTGCCATTTAGAGTCGTTCAAACAATATTTTCTTATTCTAGAATTACTACTACGCTTCCATCAAGCAGGCACCAGTGCGACAGATCTCGGGCTAATCACAGTTTTCGGGCTCCTTCCAATGGCTTCTTGATTTATTTTCCGAGAGGAAAATCCCTGAATGTGCAGAGCATGCGCATGGAGAATGATAGTATGCTCAAACATGCGGACGTAGTTTTGAAGGCATACCCATTGTTGCTGGCACCCCATCTCAGACAATCGATCGGACTCCTAGGGCGCAGAAATGGCAGGGCCGCGGGGTTTCCCCAGCGGGGGGTCTGCCACTCGTGCGCCGGAGCCCCCCCCCCCCATTTTGTGCTCCGCAAGTCTTCCGCGGCATACTGTAACTAACCCTAAGTAAGCTCCAAACCCCAATTATGTCTCTAAACCCCACCCAAATTAGCCGAATACGACCCCCCCCGGGTAGGACTTTAGCGCGACCCTCACCCCCGTACTCTACCCCCTCCCTCTCACCCCTAGCGTTTGTAGATAGAAAATAGAAGAATGAAGACAAGAAGAAACATTTATTTTAAATTGACTGCAAAACGATTTACTGAAAATTGCAGTTGTTTTGATTTGCATCGAATTCTGTTTGTGCCAGATGTGATGAGATGCAGTTCGATCACTACGGGCTCGGTTATCGGGAGGAACAGCTCCGGTCGAGTTCAACGTTGTGTGGTCCTCGAGCGATTCTTTCAGGAAACACACTCTGGATAACATTGGTGGAGTGGCCTTGAAGGTTAATCGGAATTTTTTTAGTGATAGGTGTCGTAATTTGTGGTTTTTCCAGGTTTATAAGTGCGAAGCTCTTGCATCGAACTGTGGCCGATGTCTTACGCTGAATGCTGAAAAGTATGAATGTGGCTGGTGTGTTATAGACAACAGATGTGTTAGACCAATGGCATGCTTGGCAAGATCACCACAAGATTGGCTGAATAGCAAGCAGCTGTGTGCAAATCCAGCTAATGAAGACTTCGGTCCTAAAAAGGGATCCGTCGGTGGAAAAACGAAGGTTAGGTCTACTGCTGCTACGTTCACCTGTGGAATTGTCGCTTTTACTAGCGAGAAAGTACTGTCAGGTGGGGTGACCATGTGTAATGAGACTAGTGAACCAGTAACTAAACATACCTTGCCAAGCATCTTGCCAAGCATGCCATTGGTCTGACACATCTGTTGTCTATAACACACCAGCCACATTCATACTTTTCAGCATTCAGCGTAAGACATCGGCCACAGTTCGATGCAAGAGCTTCGCACTTATAAACCTGGAAAAACCACAAATTACGACACCTATCACTAAAAAAATTCCGATTAACCTCCACGGCCACTCCACCAATGTTATCCAGAGTGTGTTTTCTGGAAGAATCTCTCGAGGACCACACAACGTTGAACTCGACCGGAGCGGATCCTACCGATACACCAAGCCCGTAATGATCGAACTGCATCTCATCACAAGCACAAACAGAATTGGATGCAAAATCAAAACAATTGCAATTTTCCTCATATCACATTGTCGTCGAATGTCCCGACAGCAGGTTTTTCGCGTTCAACGTTTCCAACTTTGAAGTGACATCGAAAATCCGTCATGAAGATCGGATGAGGTTTTGGACCTTACAAATCCAAGCTCAAAATTGAGCACTTCGTAGAATGCACCACTCACCTTCACTGTGATATCTCTCCTTTCACCTGCAGCTACGTAAAGTTAGGTTTGCGGTGCGACGGTACGTGGACATTTCTGTGGACCTTTTCTCCTAGAGTGACCCTCACGCTGGAATGCAAATTTGAAGGCTTATCTATCATCAGAAACAAGGACACAGATTTTCCCTGCATATTATGACTTTGTGCAAAGTTTGAGAACTTGGAATCTCGAAAAAAAATGAAAATTTCTTAAGCGCCTGTCACAATTTCTAACAGGTAAACTGTAAGTAGACGATATACTGAAAAATGTGAAAGAGTTGCATGAACTTGCATAGCAGATCTGCATTTAGCAAGAATGCGACAGACTAACCGTATAAGATATTCCCTGAGACAGAGCCAAGCAGTGTACGGATAATTCTAGCATCAATCAATCCCAGAAACACGGAAATAATTCAAGAGACACCACATAAGGGTACCGACGGCCTAATCTCAATCACAAAAACCACTCCATCAATAGTCAACGATGTCTCAGCAAATCGAAAAGAGCCAAACACTAAAAGTGACTAAGTGCATCCGCACGAAAATCTAAAACCTGAAACCTGAAAAGAAGGAGATGAACAAATAAACGCCAGCGCGCCGACGAGGAGCACGAAAAACCAAAAAAAAGAAAAACGAGCGCGAAAGAACGACAAAAAACGAGTAAGACGAGAGCGACGGCAACTTATTTTCGAAAATGCTAAGCTGCGTGTCACGCATATTGACTGCGTACATATATGTGCGCCGGACCCCTCCCATTTTGTGCGCCGGACCCCTCCCATTTTGTGTGCCGGACCCCTCCCATTTTTGCGCCGGAGGCCTCCCATTTTCTGTGCCGGAGGCTTCCGATTTTCTCTCCCGGACCCCTCCGATTTTCTGTCCCGGACCCCTCCAATTTTCTGCTCCGCGGCTCGTCCAAATCTGGCGGACTCGCGGCGGGCAAATCTCTGCGCCGCGAACCCAGCAAATCTGGCGTATTTGCGGCGGAGAAATTTGCAAGCCCGCCGGAGTCCGATCTGCCTTCTTTGTGACGTCACAAGAAGGGACCCCCCTCGCCCCGCTCTCATTGGTCAACTGGGTCCTGGGTCCACCGCGGCTCTGGCAGATTTCGACTGTCCGCCGGAGGGGTCCGATCGACTGTCTGAGATAATGTAGGCTTGCAGCGCTGCATCATGGAATCGAGTGGTTTATAATACCTTACTTAGTTGGGTTCAAGAGTCTTCTATTCCTTTTTCTTTACTTCTCCGAAGACCTTATGTGGGTATTCTTCTTTCTACTATCAATATATTCAAAGACATGATGAATACAAACATATAATCAACCAAATTTCATCTATTTCTACTGTTACATTTTTGGACCGCAAATGCCGTAAGCTCTTTGACTGCCAAAATTCTGCAGCCGTACCATCTGCTCAGTTGGATAAATTTCAAAAATTTTATTCTAGACAGGGAAAGAGTAGATGATGCCATACAAATGGAGCAGAATCCGAACTATATGACAGTGCTTTCATATGCTTTCAATCTGCTGCTTGAAGCTTTATATAGCTTTATATCATCTTTTCGGAGATCTCGATTTATGTTGAAGTCATCAAACACACAACCACTGCGAAAACACAGAAGCTTTCAAATTTTTCGCGAAAAGGCCGTTCGTTTACGAACATCATTTGCACAAAATAATGTGCTATTTGCTTTTGATGCTTTTAGTACGCTTATGCTCAACATGCGTCCAATGGGGATTTCCTTATAAATACTTGTTACAAGATTCAAAAATTTGATCTAGATCTTCTAGAATGAGCAGAATGAAGATGTTCACTTTACATTACAGATGCCAGCGGTCTCTAAATGTATTGGTAAAAAAATGGTATAGAATTCCTCAAGATTTAGAAAAGTTTGGCATTACTTCGGCTTTCTATAGGGTCCGAAAACATGGAAAGACTTCATAAGTCAAAAATGTAGCTACCAGAAAGGGGATAAGATCTGAATCGAATGATAGCGAAGGTAGCTTTTAGTCAGCCTTCTGCGAGTTTGGGACCGACTGAAGAAGAACGGACAAAACTTCCGGGATATCTCAATATATCGATAATGGTTGCAAGTAAATGCTGTTACCGTATATCCAGCTTGCATGGCAGATTGCTCGTCCATAATTACAGCTTCACACCTTGGTTGATGAGCTACTTTAGCAGTCTCGTTTGCTTCTGCAGAATCGGATAGAAAAGCTGTCGAGTTTACCATGCAAAGAATAGCCATGCTCAGGTTTAATCGCATGGATACGCACGCGTAAAAGCCTACAAAGGTTTTTTGGTGACTCTTGTTCCATGTTTAGAAGCTAATTTTACCGGAGGTCATGAGCAAGCACATCCATAGTCGCATAGATCTGAGGGAAAAGAAAGGAAAATGATGAGATTTGCTTGCATTTACTCCAATTGAGCTCTCCATATTGTAGAAGCCTAAACGAATATGATCGATAGGAAGTGAAGTGAGGACAAGAATTTCATAATAACATGAATCAATAATTTCAAAATTTGACCAAGGCAAACTTATGGATACATTGATTAGAATACAGACATATAGGAAACAGTAGAGGAGCTTGTTATGTCTGTGGCGAGATTCTATAGAGAATTTGCATAAGCTTCCTGTCAGACAACTTTTGTTTGCTTTTAGCGATCGTGTTGATACTTTGGTTCTCCAACACTTATGCGCGGCAGTGATAAACGACACTCTGCGGGCATTCTCCCCAGGTATTTTTTAACCTCCAGAGCAATAGCTAAAAATGGAAAATTTGTTCTTGAACCAAAGGCGAGCAGTGGGCTGATAAGCATTGACTCACCGTTTCAAGATCGGAAAATGTGGTGGTCAGAGTAGGCTAAACAACGAATTGATGAAAAGGTACTAGAGATTGGCTATCAGCATAAGTTTAATGGGTAGGGTTTTTTTCACGTATTGTTTTTTAGGAGTGAAAGAACAATTTATTTTCGCATTTATTCATTGATGTCTTTGCCATTATATTCTTAGCGCACCTGCATAGTATAAATACTCTGTTTACTTAGTTATGATATGTACAGTCGTTTTCAATACGTATTGGTCTTTTCTACCGTATGCCTTCCATCGCAACATGACGTGGATTGGTGAGGCGCCGCATCGCTTCGGGCTTGCGCCACGTTGCTTTTCTCGCCACGGTACGCCAAACGAGCGTCCGCTACGTGGCGCAGGCCGCCGTGGTAGACGTAATCAAAAAACCGCGGCTTTTTGATTACGTCTACCACGTGAAATTACCAAAAATTCCAAAAGCTGACTTTTCAAAAGAAGTCAAACCTGCTGTTGAATAAATATCCTTTATTAGCAATTGAGTCTCAGTTCGCACAAATTTCAAAATCGTCTCTGTTTTTACTGCAGTTGCGTGTTCCATACTTTGCCAAAAATCGAGACCTCCGAAGAAATGACTTTTTAAGCTAAAAACAGCAGGTTCAGGGGAATCTAAAAATATTACCGTATAGTCCAAGAATGATTCTACTTGTGCTCTACTTAACCCTTCCCGAAACTTTGAAATGAAATTCCGAAAACTGGTCTTCCAAGAATTATTCTACTTGTGTTCTACTTAACCCTTCCCGAAACTTTGAAATGAAATTCTGAAAACTGGTCTAACTTTAAGCGGATAAAAATTACGGGTGAAGAATAGTGGCAACTATCAAAAAAAAGCCTACAGAATTGGGCTAGGAAATGTAACCTTAAGGAAGTGAAGGAAAAGCTGCATCGAATGCATATTGAAACTCATTCAGGTCTTTATTGTGCGTGGTTTTATAGCGGTTTGAAAAAACCGACAAAACTCTTGAGACAACCTAGTGTTATCACAAAAGTCTGAATTGAAGCCTTCCATATCATGTTGATGGATTACCTATATGATCTAATGTTGAGTCGTACCAAATTTATTGCTCTATTTAAGGGAAAGATTTCTTTGAAATGAAAAGCACCTCGAGACATTTACACTTCCCTCACAAAGTCCCGGAGTCAGGCCAGCTCTGAGCGAAGCACAACCTACCTTCGTATAATTTCCTAGATTTCTAATTTTGCCAATCTACGATGAAACTTCATGAGACTGGCGCATGCTTGGAGGCACCAAACAGAAGTCCAGCCAGCTTGACCTGAAAGTGGTCAAGTATAAAGTTCTATTAAGAAAGGAATATTGTAGACGACGAACGAGCACAGAATTTAGCATTAATCAAAAGACGCGGTTTTCCTAAAACTTTGAGTGCGTCTACACAGGGAAAAGTGAGCAAGAGACTTGAACTCGTCCACCAAAATTTACGGGTTTGCAAGTCATTTCCTCTGTTCATGGGGAATTAATCTCAGTCAATGCTTCAATTTTAAGAAAAAAGTAACATGCATCACGACTATGGTAGTTTTGGAAACTACCAGTGCCGTGCGAAGAGATAGAAAATGCTATCTTCTACGGAAATCCATGATGATGAAGTTGTACAAGTGATTGCTGAAACCTTCGTACCCTTAAGTATTGAACTACAAGAGATTGCCAAAATGTTTGTATCCACAACTAACTGAAACTGTAAGGATGGGCGCCGTAGTACGAAGGTTCCTGCCATAGGCCAATGATCATTAAATAGTTGATTTTGACCAGGTACTTTGTACCGTGGCGACTATAAATAAGGTTTATTTCTTTGCTTCTTTTGTTTTCATTGTTTCTTTACTGTTACTTTTGTTATCCCGTTGTTTTCGGGCCTTGTCCGAAATTTATTTCAGTCTTTTGCCTTCAAGCCAAACGCTCTCCCCCCCCCCACCTTCTGCATCAACATCTCCAGGTAATGTATGTGACAAGGTGTGAGTTATATAGCCGGTACCTTTGCAACATCTCTGGACAAACTCCTGAAAAAGAATCTACCATTTTGATTATACAGCTCACATGGTTTTAGCTTAGGTCCAACATGGCAGAATTTGAGAAATCAAATTTTAATTGAGCCAAAAAGTGTTATTTTTGGTGCAGACAATTTTTCAAAGTAAGACTTGAACTTTATGCGAAACCTGAGTACTACTATGTAGTGCAAATGTCGTCTATAAGGTTCACTTTTCTCTGGCGATTTTGCTCTATTTGCCTTTGTTGTGCTGTGTTTAGGCCAAATGCCATACATACCTCTGAGGGGCACATGCAGCTCGAGGCGAGCTGTAGAGCATTGACTGCACTTTGAACAATTCTGCGCCTTGTAATTGACAACTCTTCACCTCTACATAGATTTGCATCACGAAACAAGCTCTCTATGCAAAATGTCCCAAAATTAATCTTACTGTGTGGTCGTTAGCTCTTTTGCTTCATTGTCTTTTGTCGCGCAAGGTACTTCTATAGCTGGTTTTCAGCTTAGATTTACAGTACAGCAAAACACCGATTGTCTTTCATTGATTCAAGATACGATAGGAACTTTAGCATGCGCTTAGGTAAAATTTTAAGAGAATCGAGAAAGTTGTGTAGCAAGGTCTTCATGCACGCTGATTTCACTATCATCATGACTTATAATAAGCGGCTTAATCTGAAGTTGTGTGGAGTTTGTCCGTTACGAAATTACAGTGAGGAATGATTTACGATACTAAACATCATGTGAGGTTAAGATGGCGAGGTTCATTTTTAACTACGGCTCATGTTGCAATAAAAGGGCCGGGCATACTTCACGCGATTTGGCAATATTCCAGCTGTCCATAACTCACTGTAAGCACATTTTGAATCTACAGAAGATAGGGCATTCTAGCAATCCACGTAAGTTATACACACTATGCATGTACAGTTTGCTAGTATTGGATCTGAAGACTTCTGGCGGATTGCCAAATCGCGTCGCGACTGAAATCGCGTGAAGTATGCCCGGCCCTAAACCGAACAATGATTTGAGAGGCGAGCTCTCAGAAAGTGAGTTTACCACGGTTCACGATGCCAGTGCGAACCTCTGCGAAGCAGAGGTGAAGCACTGGTATGCTATACTTCACTATACAGCTTTTGGGAGTTATCAGGTGGGCTAAAAAGTAAGTTTAGTCAAGTTTACACGCTCACAACTTATGTTGCTAAAATCTACAAGCAAGTATGTTATCATTCGAAAGAGCAAACCACGATGAGCAGTTTGATATATACATGGAAGGGGTTATAGCGCTATCCTCGTTTAGGCCCCGGGCAGACTTCACGCGATTTGATCGTCGCGATTTAATCGCCAAGATTTCCATTCATTTTCATTTCACATTCAAAAATTTCGGGCTGGAAAAGTTTCACAACCGAATGCAAGTTGATCGGCATGGAATGATGTTGTAACAGTTGTCTCGTCGCGACTCAGTCGCGACGATCAAATCGCGTGAAGTCTGCCCGGGGCCTTAGAAGCTTTACAAGATGCAAGATCAAAAATTTAGACTTCGCTTCTGCATGCTCTACGACTTCAAACAGGGAAAAAGTGCAGCAGAATCCCACCAAACGCTAGTCCAACCCTTTGGCGAGAGTGAGAGCAAAAGCGTAAGTGAGAGTCAAGTCCAGAAGTGGTTCAAACGTTTCAGAAAAGCTGATGAAAGTCTTGATGACGACGCATGCAAAGGACACCACGAGACCCTGAGCGACAGCGTTTTGAAGAAGCGGTGGAAGCGGATCCGAGTCAATCGACGAAGAACTTGCTGAAAGATTTGGCTGCACTCATGGGATAGTAAAGAAACCCCCGCACGCGCTACGAAAGAGCAAATGCGGAAAATGAATGCTATACGAACTCAGTGGTGCAAACAAGGAGGCGAAAACTAAGGTGTACCGCACCCTGCTAAATATGTCGAATCGAGCCATTTTTATAAAGCCACTTTAATTTCAAATGGAAAATGGATCTACTTCGATAAAACACCAGAAAGAAGCAGTGACTGAGTAGGAATGAGCAGCCGAAATCTACCCCCAAACCTGACGCATATTGCAAAAAAGCCATGCTCTGCGTCTGCTGGAATGTCAGCAGTTGGGTGTATTTTGCGGTGCTCCCACTAAGTCACCAGTAACAGCATATCTATACGCTGACCAGCTGGAAAGAGTGGACCGGGCATTGCGACGTCGGAGGGGGGGGGGGGGGTCCGAGGACTATAAAATTCCTGCGCGACAATACTCGACCTCACGTCGCAAACATTGCGCAGCAAAAAATCGAAAAATTGGAAGGCCAGTTCTATCTCATCTGCCATAAACCAAGTTTGACCCCCAGATTTCCATCTGTTCAGGTCAATGCAGCATTACCTGGACGATAAAAGTTTCGAAACACTCGACAATGTGGAAATTTGCGAGCCACTACTACTCATAGCCGCCCGACTTCTTTGCCAGAGGGATCCGGTCTTTTTGAAATGGAGAAAGATCATAGAAGTGTGACTGAAGTTTGTCCACAGAGATTTTTTATATAAATAATTTCATGCCCAAACCGAACTTACTTATTAGCCAACCTAATATTGAAGTTTCAATGTAATCACATTTTTGAGAAACAATGAAAGGCAGTTGTAGCAGTATATTCGGCTCGATGAACGGGGCGTTACGTAAAGTGCACGAATTTCACACTCAGATCGACTCCAACAGCCCAATGTAAGATTTTTCTAAGCTTGTTTGGTGCTTCTTGAAAGTGAAATGTGGTCCTTGATAGCGCAAAATCCTGTTCAATGTTCCTAATGTAAAGTACACCTGATGGAAAGCGATTGGTGATGCCCTATACTGTACATCTAGGTAAAGCCACTCTACGGAATGTTACCTCAGGGCCTAAGGATACCTCATGCGATTTCAGTGCCTGCGCGATCTGTCACTGCAACGACTCTCCATAATTGATCGTAAGCAGGACCGGCACGCTTGATTTGGAGCATTTTTGGAAACGAAATCCCTCATGACTTCGTAAAAATTTACGAAGTCCCTTTGACGTAAAAGTCAGAGGAAAACCCTTATCCAATCAACATAAAAATAAAAAGGCGAAAAAAGCGTATTTTGAGGTATCTATAACAAAACTGCAAAAAAACATTCTAAGTTAACACACTGACGACAGCGTGACCCACATGGTGGGTCGCGCAATGACTGCCACGTGGGACAATGTGACTCACATGGTGGTCATGGCTTAAAATTCGTCAAAATGAATACAATCTTGAGGCAAGTTCGTTTCAAAAGTTCTCTTACGCTCTGATTCTACGGGTTACTACCACATTTCTTTTCTCCTTGAAATCCTACCGCTCCTTAAAATTACCGTAGATTCACCGTAAATGACGATCTGCTTGATTTTAGCTTAAAATTTTCAACTTTATCGTGGAAGGCATTTTTCCACAAGGCAGACAACTGAAAATGCGCGTTGTCGTCAACGTGTTAATTAGAGGCTCTGTCATTGAGTATGGTACCATTTTGGTGCTCAGAATGCCGAAAACCTCCTAGGCCAAGCAAATCTGTGGCCTCAACAATCTGGGATGCATTTTCACCACATAGTTCAAAGGTCACCGCATGTGATTGGAGCGCAATATTATCAACGCATAGATATACACTACTTTTGGCTCAAAAAAAGAGAAGAGGCGATGGTTTGATTCGCTCTTTTCACTATATGATAAATAAATTTTTGACAGTTCTAATCGTCCAAATCAAAAAGAGCCAAAACTCATGTGAACTCTCCGATACTTATGCTCCCCAACCCTGTTGCTTTAGTGTTGGTCTAGAAACCAACAAATTCGGGAACGGATATTAGGACACATAAGTTTTTGAGACTTTTCACATAACTAGTTTGGAGTAATATTGCATACGCATAGCCCAAATTCGGAGCCATACCTATCTAATTATTGTCTACAATGTACAAACTCTTCACACGAGTACTTCTTAGCGGGATCGAAAGACTGGGTTCCGGAAAGGATTAAGCATTATGGACCACATACACACGATAAGTCATCGAATTATCGCGAGAGTACAGGATGCCGCTCTGTCCCACCTTCATCGACTTGAAGAAGGCATTTGATTTGGTTGAGACTGAGGCTGTCATCGATGCCTTGAGCAGTCAAGATATTCCACTTAACTTAGTACATCAAGACGATTCGTGAGCTGTACAACGACTTCATAACCAAGATTGCACCATTCTATAAGAGCATCACTTTCGTGGTAAAGAGAGGAGTACGACAAGGCGATATCATATCGTCGAAACTTTTCAGCGCTGCTCTCGAAAACGTCATGCGGACACTCGATTGGAATGAGGGTGTGAAAGTCGAAGGCAGGCAACTACACCATCTTCGCTTCGCTGATGACGTAGTCCTAATTACACCGGGCATCACGCAAGAGGAAAGAATGCTGGCTCAATTTGATGAAGTGTGTGGAAAGATCAGTCTACGGCTGAGTTTAAATGAAGACGATGTTCATGAGAAATAGATGGGTTCTTGATGCACCTTTCACGCTGAATGGAATGACGATCGCCGAATGCTCTAGCTACGTCTACCTAGAACGGGATTCAGCATGATGAACGATCTAGCCCCATCCGAGCTGGAGGAAACTAGCAGCATGGGGAGCATACAAGGCAATTGGTATTGAAGAAGACCAAGAACACCCGGCTCCAAGCCCTCTCTTCAACATGACGGTTCTGCTTGCTTTGATGTACGCTTCCGAAACGTGGGCCGCGAGGAAGCAGGATGAGCACACGGTGAGCGTCATTGAACGCGTTGAGAGAGCGATGTTAGGAGTGTCCCGACTTGCACAAGTGAGGGAAGGAATACGAAGCTCCACTCTACGTCAACATGATGAACGATCTAGCCCCGAGCTAAGCTGAAGGATCGAAAATCAGTTGAAAAAATGCTGCCGCATACGCCAAACAGAATAAAATCGGAGGTGCCGGACACGTGATGCGTTTTGACGACAATCGGTGGACCAGAACTGTGGCGGATTGGACACCGCTGGACGTCAAACTCGGATGGAAGACTGCAGACTGCAGACTCGATAGTCGGACATGTTCACGAAGTCGTTTAAAGAAGTCCTTCAAGGCGTTCCTCGTGTACTTGGTGCGATGAAAAGATATTGGTCAATATTGGTCGCTCGCGACAGGGACGAATGGAGGCGTCACTGGATTCTGCTGTGTCAAGCGACGATCAACGGGGATACAGGTAATACTCACGAGGGAATGGTCAGAAATTAACATAGCCATTCCAAACAAGCTGTATATCATCGGACTCGCCTTAAGACGCTGATTTCAAATACACGTTTTTTAAATGCCAAGCGGCTGTATGGGATAAATTACGAGCG